TTGGGGTTATGGTACTTATAAGTCTCAAAAATAACCATTTACTAAGTCCCCTAAACCCTAAACCCTAAACCCTAAACCCGAAACCCTCCAAGTTTGCTGACAGTGCAGTGGAGCGGACATTACAACCATCCCCGCCTCGTCGGGCCTACACTAAAGGTGGGACAAACGACGGTTTAGGGTTTAGGGTTTAGGGTTTAGGGGTTAGGGTTTAGCGTCAGCATTTTCCTCATTGCCACCGAGAAGGTTCACCGAGTTCAAATGTTCGAGTTCGGGCCTCGGGTTTTTGGGGGCCTATCATGATTGAAGCAAGCAAGGGGCTTGAAGTGGACCCCTAGACCCTAAACCCCCTAAACCCCTAAGCCCCCTAAACCCTAAACCTCCTAAACCCCCTAAACCCCCTGAACCCCCTAAACCCTAAACCCCCTAAACTACTTCAAGACCCTGTTCTGCCCTGACACGTAGCCGTGGACTTCAACTGCTACCAGGCACATAATAAGTGCCCTACTTTACAGCCCGAAACCAGGTTTCGGCTGTAAGATTGGACATAATTTGCATAGTTTCGGGTCCTTAAGGTAATGCTGGATTTGTATCATCAACCGTATGAACCCTAAGATCTGAAGCCGGGTTTAGGGTTTAGGGTTTAGGGGTCAAAACCTGCCTGCAGTCTCCAGCCCGGGGATATAGAAAAAGGTGAACCCACCAAAATGAATGACACTGGAAACAAGAAGTGAACCCTAAACCCTTGACCCCTTAACCGTAAATCCCTGCCCTCAACCTTATAAACCCCTAAACCCTAAATAGGTTAACCTCCTACCCCCCAAGTTCCGAAACCCCCTGCTAGGTACACTCCAAACTATAATTGCGTTAAGCGCTAAACCCCCAAACAGCTGAACCCTACACCCTTCATGCCTAACAGCAAAACCCCTAGATAAGTGAACCCTAAAGCCGGCATGCCTCAAAGCTTTTCCCCCTGGATAGGTGAACCCTAAGACCCCTTTACCCTAAATCCCTAAACCACTACATCTCGAAACTCGAAGACTCGTAAACCGCTAAATCCCAAACTTCCTAAAACCTACGCCCTAAATCCCTAAACCCCTACTAACCCCCTAAACCCTAAATCCCTATTCCCTGAACCCTACCCTAAATCCCTAAATCCCAAACCCCTAAACCCTAATTAAAGGCCTAAACCCTAAACCCTTAAACCCAAGCCCAGCCTCCGGAGCGCCTTCCCGGCAGGCAAAGGCCCCAAGGCATCCAAGGCGCTCGCACTGGACCTGTCAAGGTGCCCTAGGGTTAAATTTAGGGTTTAAGGATCCAGAAAGTGTATAGTGTAGGGGCCCTAGTAATTAGACTAGGGTTTAGGGTTTAGGGTTTAGGGTTTAGGGTTTAGGGTTTAAGACCGCCGGAAGGATCCAGAAAGTAGATCCCTTGAGGGATTTCCTTTATGGTACCCTTTAGTAGTACAAAGTGCCAAATAAGGGGATCTACTTGTTGGATCCTCCCCGTCGGTCCGGGTAAAGGAGCCCCACACAGTCAAATAGGGTTTAGGCTGACTCTGAACCCCTCCTAAAAGTTAAACATTTAGGCCCCTATTATGGTTCATATAGAAACCCAAAAAGTTAAAGTCCTAAGAGCCAACCAACAGAACACCTAGATAGGGTCTATAGGGTTTGAGGCTTATATAGGGTTTAGAATTTAAGGCTCAGGGTTTAGAGCTAAGGGCTTACCCGAAACACTACGGATGCCAAAGACGCCAACAACTAGGTACTTGGGTTGCGTATAGGGTTTAGCAGAGTATCGGAGGTTAGTACTTGGGCGAGTACAAGCATAATTAGCAGGTACTTGGCACTTGGGATAAGCTTACCTTTAACCGCAAACCCTACCTCAAACCACCATAGCCTGGACTGATCTGTAGGTTCTTACTATAAGCCCTGAAAGAATTACTTCTGAACAGGGTTGTAGAGCAGAACGTCCTATAGGCTATAATATTGTTTAGAGTATAGGGGTTGTCTGATACGACGTACCGACCATGTGCCCAAACAACATGGAGTTTTTCAGAGCCCAGCCCAGCCCAGCCCAGCCCAGCCCAGCCCAGCCCAGCCCAGCCCAGCCCAGCCCAGCCCAGCCCAGCCAATTCTGAGAACCAAGTTTCAACAAAGAACCGAATCGGACAAAACTTTGTCGCTCAAAACTTTCGCGCCAAACTTATGAGCACCCAAACCCTTAACAATTTCTATAAACCCTACTGAACCCTAAAAACCCAAAAGTATAGGCTTCCGCATCAGCGAGGAGCCCAAGGCTAGCCTGCAGGCTTCGCGAAGTCTCTCCGGGGGTTCTCCGGTTCGGGGAACACTCCTCCGGTTCTTAGCCATCGCGTGGGCCAGATCCATTGAAGTTTAGGGTTTAGGGTTTAAGCTTCTGGGTTTGGGGTTTAAAAGCTTAATCTTCTGGGTTTAGGCCTTAACATTTGGGCTTCGGGTTTAGGGTTTGGGGCTGGATATCCTGAAGATCACTGGTGTCTGGGGATTGATGATACGCGATGACTTCTTCGGGTTGGACTTAAGTGACTTGGGTGGTGGTCAAAATTATGGTCCCTTTTTGGGTCCTTATTATAATACGGCACCTATTATTTAGGGTACACCAAAAGGGACCATAATTTTGACAACTACCCACTTCGTCCAGGGTCATGTGCAACTTGTCGACCACGTTCGGTCGTCCAGAGTCTCCCCCGACTCCTCCAGAGCGAGAACCCTAAACCCTAAACCCTAATCCCTAAACCCTAAACCCTAAACCGCCTGAACCTTAAACCCTAAACAGGAACAGCCCAAATAACGCTGAGAACTATTGATTTTTGGAAGTCTAGACCCACAAGACTACCGACGATCGGCAGTCATGGTCTGATGGGACTACATGTTGGCTTGGATCCCAGACTTCCCAAAATCCCTTAATGAAGGTACGCACCTTAAATCACATTAGGGATCCCGCTACAATTTAAGGTGTATTTCGTAAGTAAGTAAAGGATATTGGAAGGTCGAAGAGACTTCACTGCCCTTGAACTCAGGAACATTCATAAGGGCTTAAGCATTTGCAGGGTTGTGGTTTCAAGGCTTACGCTATCGGCTTTAGGGATTTGGAGTTTCTGGTTAGGTGGATTGCAATTGAAAACTCTCACAATCTGAATCCTGACTATGCTAACATGAAGCTGCAAGTGATGTCATAGATCCCCATACGTAAGCCCTTGCCGCAAACTTGGTTCACACAAAGCCCTGGTGGTCTCTACACACCTTCCGCACTCCTGTTTGGCCTCAATCATACGGAACCTGAGGGGGGCAATACTGCCATAAGTCCACCTGTCCGAAAATGCCTCATCAGAACCTGAACACCCCAGTTCCGGGCGTAGAGAGTTTTCGGGTTTAGGGTTCTGTTTCAGTTTCTGGACTCCTAACCCCTAAGCCCTAAACCTAAGCCCTAAAAATCCAGAATCGGCTCGGCCTGATGAAACGGGGCTTTGACAGAATGATGCCGTCCTGTGACAGAAGCAGGCGTGCAGTAAGTGCTTGGGGCTTAGCGCATAAGGGTTTGCGGCTTCATAGGGCCCCAAAAAAGCGCATAAGCAACATATAGGAGGGGGATATCACAGAGAAACCCCCTCTACAATCAAGCCCGAGAAGGTGTGGAAATCCCTGCGCTATGCTTGTGCTTATGTCCTTTTTGGGTCCTTAAGGTTTAAGCATGCAGCTTCTCCGAAACCCCACATAGGTCACCTTGGAACCAAGGGTCATTGCAATGTGCAATAAACCCTAAGCCCTAAACCC